TGTCCATTCATTGGAAAGTATTGGAAGCAAATGAGGAGGCGCCATTGGCCGAAAGCGGGCTAGGCGTGTCCCAGGGCGTCTTCACAGATTTAAACGTGGCCAGCCAGAAGCCGCAAATAATACCCTGGCAGTGGTCGCGAGAAACAAAATTAATAAGTGTGTTGAAGTAACCCTTCGCGAATGAAAACATGATGCACGTGGTTATACTATCACGGTCATACAAAATCAATATTTAGGAGAATGGTCGACATGATCTCTACGCCAGGCGTCCGAGCCACGTCCGAGCGGTCAGACTCCGTCCCAGCAAAACAGAGTTCAAGCAGCACATTCGATTCTTACACCTTTTTGGATGATCATAATCGAAGCATCACGTGGACTATATTTTCAGCCATAAGCAGTTACTCCATTTAACTCTTTGGCACTGATTAAAATGTTCCTCGCTACTACCGCTAGGAGATTATTGGCGGCTTCTGGTTGGCGTGTCAAGCCTTCTATCTGCGTCTCGTACACGCCCTGGCTCTGCCCCTCCTATTGACCAAAGTCTCGACGACCAGCGCTACCACAATCGCACAAAGGGAAGGGGCCGGCTCTCCGAAGCGCGGCTGCTCGTGGCTTCGTTTGGCCTATCCTTCGCACGAAACCGGGTGCGAATGAAACGCAAGACGAAGCCACATTCTTCTCGCGGCAAGTGCACGGTTTGAGTGCTGTGGAAGTCACGCTAACGTCGATTGTCCGGTAGATCAACGCCTTATCGCGGCGTGAAACAGCAGGTCAGCGAGGCTAGCCTGTGCCTTCTGCCACATGCGAGTAGACCCACTGACCTGGTGTTTCACGCCGCGATAAAGCGCTGATCCACGGGACAATCGACGTTCGCGCGATATTGTTGGAAAATCTAGAGGCTGTACCACAAAACAACTGACGCAGACTTTAAAACCTATGGTAAGGGAGCACTATAGTGGAAGTCGCCCTTGTGCAAGATGAACGAAATACAGCGGCTAGTTATGGCATACAGCACACGCTGTCAGGATGTCACGACAAAGAATTTCGGCCCAATGGCTGGGGGAGCCAGTTTTTCGGTGCAGCAACAAAAGCAAACCGAGCGCGGGTGGGCCTACCTTGTGATGGGAAAGTGTCGCCCTTCGGCCCGTCTTGTCTCGGAGTCGGGGTGTGTCGTAAAGCTGGTGTCTACGACATGGAACTAGAAGGCCTATGAACTGTGCGAGTAGAACGTCGCACGACTACGCAGGAACAATACAAAATAACTGCGACCGCGAAGTGCGAAGCATGGTGCGAAGCGTCTATTACCGCGGGCACGGCGAAAGACAGCTACGACACTGGATTGGATTGCAAGCCGCAAGTCTGATGTTTCACAACAAACCGTTGCTAGGGATGTTGCTAAGGGCGAATACACCATCGTTCAAAAATTCGACGTAGAATATAAACGTCTAAAAAAAATACGCTACTTTTATAAAATTCTAGCATGCAGCACTCCGCATTTTGCACCCATGGAACTAGTTAGCCAGGGAGGATTGTGGCACGGTTTCGGTTTCGATCGACACGTTGACAAGAGATCATACGCAGAGCAGGCCGTCTACATCAGCATGACTCTTGTGACCTGGCAGCGGGTCAGGTGCCCCAACCGAGGGGCTGGCTGGCATCCTGACAGGAGCTGCGAGAGTTTCACAGAACAGCGTTCCTGCAATTATTAAAATAAACAAATGTTACGTGCGTGCTTGACCCAACATATGAGAAACCTAGGAGAGCTGTGAGTATTCAAATATCTATCCCCTAATGCCATGCACAAATGTCTTGCATGAACCATGTGCAAAACTTTCATTTTGTTTCTTGGGTTCTTAATGGTTGAAATGAAAATGCAAATTGTGATCCGAGCTACTACGTCTAAACCATGGTTCAATAATCCACTTCATCGTTTATCTCATAAAAAGAAAAGATGTTTCAGGAGCGCTAAAAAAGGAAATACTTGGCCTAAGCATGGCACTTGCTCTTCCAAATAAAAAACTATGTTAAAAGTGTGTTAGCACACATTCTTTCTGATAACTCTAAGCACAAATTCTTTCTGCAAACTCTACCTAATATGTTAATAAATAACCCTCGCAAATTTTAGAGATCTGTACTCTGAAATTAATCTAGTGAATAGCTCTTGTAATAACATATTGAATAGTGAATGTGTGAATATTTAAGTAGTGCGTTTTCTGATGCTTTCACTATTTCTACACCCATTACTGGAATTCCTCCTGTTATAAAGAATGATTTTCCAATGGATTCAATTGTTCTAAACATTCAGAGTGTTTTCAGCGGTATAGAAACCCTCAAAATATCTCCATCGTGTGGCATAGAGGAAATCATTACGAAGGTTCTCACTAACACTAAATGTTTATCCGGTCTTTACCTCAAAGATATTTGAGCAGTCCGTGGACACAGGGGTGTTACCCTCTGACCGGAAAATTGGTAAGGTCATTCCGATCCAGAAATCCGGCAGTCGGACATCTCTACTAAAATATCGGCCAATATCACTCACCTGCCTCTACAAGATCCTCGAGCATGTCATTTACAGGCACCTAATTAACTTCCTGGATTCCTGCAATTTCTTCACCAATGTGCAGCATGGCCTCTGGAAACGCCTTTCTATTGGGACCCAACTACTTATTCTAACTAACGATTTGTTTAAAAATCTTGACACCAGCTTTCCTACTGACGCTGTTTTGCTTAATTTCGCCAAAGTTTTAGCTAAAGTCCCGGACAATCGCCTTCTTTTTAAACTTTCTTCACTAAAACTAGATCCTCATGTTCCTAAGTGGATTGAGCCATTCCTTATTCATCGCTCTCATTTCGTTTTCACTAACAGCACATCCTCCTCTTTCTCTCCCGTTTCTTCCGGTGTTCCACAGGAAATTGTACTTGGGCCTTTGCTCTTTTTAATCTACATTAATGATCTCCCTCTTCACATCTCGTCTTCTGTCCATCTTTTCACTGATGACCTGTGCTGTTTATAGACTAATAAAAACCCCATATGACCATATTTCACTCCAGAATGGCATTTAAGGGGAGACACTGCTCTTTGAAGCAAAATTTTACTAAGAAAACACATTTTAAAAAATGTGTTTTTTGAAGTTTGGCAAGCACTTACTTATCATCTTGTCCTGAAGGATTTTTGTTAAATAAGTCTCTCTTATCTTGAAGTATTGTCTTGGAAACAAAGTAAAATGGGTCTGTGGATTTTTTAAAAATATTATTTCTGAGTGAACTATTTACACCCTCTACTATTTTACGGAACCATATCTCCACTTGCGCATATCTCATTTGCATATCTTTCGCTGCTAGCTGTATGTGTGACGTATGCAATACGGGGTACAAATATATTAAGTAGGCTGTCAGGCTTTTTGTAGGTGCCTTTTAGGCATCCGGCAAAAAATAATTTTGAAACTGGATAGTTCAAAAGTGTCATACGTAGTTTATAAATCATCCTAGAGCTTTCATTTATATCTTATTGGATTGCACATACCTCTCAGTTCACTGATCTATGTTTATTTTCTTAGCTCAGTATTTTAATTTGCCTTAATCCTTCCCGTAATCTTTGCAAATTAAATTTTTAATATTAATAAATCTAATTAGGTTACGTGAAAACGAAGTACGTATTTGTAGTCAGATTGTAATGCCAAAAATAAGCCATGTAAATTTCATTTTAATTGAATCACAAGTTATATAAAAAAGCTCTTGAAGCAGTGTGTCACATATGGCAGATGTGTCTCAACATTAGCAAATGCACACACCTTTGCTTTACACATTTTTGCTTCCAGCCCTTAAGCTCGTTAACACTCAATGGCACTACCATTCAGACTGCTACACAGTAAAACTATCTTGGCGTTCGTTTAACCACTAATGTATCCAGGAATGCTCATGTCAACGAGACAATATCCTCCTCAAACCGCTCACTGGGTTATATTTGTTGCAATTTCAAGTCTGCCTTTTCTATCCTGAAACGTTTCCTTTACGCGACGCTTGTTCGCCCTAAACTAGAGTATGCTTCAGCTATCTGGCACCCACATCAGTCTTTTTTTAACTAACGCAAATCGAATCTGTCCAGAATCGTGCTGCTCGATTTATTTTTTCTAATTAGTCTCGCTTTTCTTGTGTCACTGCAATGAAATGTCAATTAGCTCTTCCTGATCTTTCCGTTCGTCGCAGAATTTCCCGTCTTTGCCTTTTCCATAAAATGTACTATTCGGAACCATTACGACAGTCTCTCCTCAGCCAGCCCAGCTATATCTCTGCAAGACTCGATCATTCGTGCAAGATTGCCCTTCCCAAGACCATTTCAACATTCCCTCTACCAGAAGCTATTGTAGACTGGAATGACCTTCCAGATGATATTGTCACCATCACCGATAACGCTAAAATCAGAACTGTACTAACCATGCACTCCCCTCTGTAATTAATGCCTTTCGGGGCCCTGAGGGTAATTCTAAGTAACTAAAGAAACAAATAAATAATATTCCGCCACCAGCGTGTGTTTGTGTAATTATAGGGAACTGGCCTCGTTACTGAAGGACTTGTCACGCGGCAATTCTGCCGTCAGTGTAACTAAAATGCATCATTCGCAAGCGCAGGCAAGGATGCCACCAAGGCGGCTCCAAAATGGAAAAAGAACCGAGTAAGGGTGGATTTACTCGCCCCACATACGCCTTTGATCAGACTTCTCGACTTCTTTCGTTAACACAGCCATTCTCTTTTCTTCTGCGCTTTAGGAGTGCCTAAAATGCCAGTAACTCATTGTCTACGAGTAATCTAATAAGGTGAATGGTGAAAACTGCTCAGCAACATGACTGCACAGAGCTTACCAAGGTGAAAAGTTGTTTGGCAAAAGTTTCCTATAGTATTGCTTGCAACGCGTCTGAAAACCTCTGGCGTGTTTTTAACTTTACTAATGTGTTGTGTAACAGTTTGTATTTTGTGCATAATGCCCTCCCCTTTCCCTGCAGGCTGTAGAGGGACAAGCAGCAGCAAGTGTGCACCAGTCGTCCGCACTGACTTCGCTAGTGCTCCAGCTCGTCGATGTGCAGAATCTCCATCCGTCAGCCGAATAAAGTGGGTCTCTATGCTCCATTTCATTTTTGGCACGGGTTACACCACCGTTACTTGAACATCTCAGTTGAAAAACTGCCATAGGTGTCCGCTTTGCAGAATTGTTAGGAGCGAGACGGAGTCGCAGTCCCGCTGTTCTTGCTGCAGCGGCCATTTTGTAAACTGTGGCTAGACCAAACAATGTCTGTGCCTCGATGGGCTTCTCAAGCGTGGCGCTGCTCCCCATTGTAGCTCGCTGTGGCTCGCGTGTGGTGTCCGCGTTTGAAGACCAACTTTCCTTAACTGGTATGTTGTAGTAATCTTAGATTATGCCACAAGAGAACTTGACATGCATAAAGAAGGAATTTTTATCAATGTACACTGCTTTGTAACATCTTCCAACTATTCATATTTGTTTATTCAAAGTGTTCAATAATGGCCGAAGTGTCTCACTTGGTGCACTTGTTAGTAACAGGAATACAAAGGATTTCCAGCAAGAAAGACTAAGGAAGTTCGAGCACTTCTTAAAGGACACATGCAAAGGACAAATAAAGTTTTTTTAAACAGCCTGGTTGGGAAAAGGAAGTCATAAAACTAATTTACAACGAAAAATAAAAATTTTAAGAGCTTTATTCACGGCGCTATACGAATTTGTAGTTGGCGCCGGCGGGCGCTGTGGAAAAGTGGCTGCTAGTTGTCACGTGACTGGCCGCTATTTGTCACGTGGTGCTTCCGCTCTATCGGAAGCTTCCTATGGTCTCTGAAAGTTAGTTATTCATCTTTATTTCAAGTGCAACAAAACACAAAGATTAATAGGTAACTTTTCGAACCCAAAGAAAGCTCCTGAAAAAGCGGAAGCAGACGGGATAGACCTGTGTGCCGGTCAGATGACGGCGGCAGCGCTGCGGAGTAGACGAACTTGTGCGGCGGTGGCGGTGTGGAGAAGTGAGTTGACGGCGGTGCACCACGCTCAGCGTACAGTGGCGGCGTGACTTTGAGTCGACTTTGAGACGGCGCACAGGTCTACCACATGACTTGCGGCGGCTCCCACGGGCGCAACTACAAATTCATTTTGTGCCGTAAATATAGCTCTAAAATGTTTTTTTTCTTCGTTCTAATTTTATTTTATAACATTCTTTTTCCACCTGGTCTGTTTACAAAAAAATGTTTTTTTACTTTGCATGTGTCCTCAAACCCCCCCCCCCCCCCATCCCCCCCTAAAAAGAAAATGCAATACTTTCAGTGCTTAAATTAACTATGTAATGTTGAGAGCCCTTATTGATTCGATAGAACCCTGGGGTGAAAATGTCTGTCAACTGATTCCAGATGTTTGGAATAGTTACCAACTTGACCTACCGGTGACAGGAAGTTACTATGCGCTGATAAACATTTCAGCTGGGTACGTGTTAGCAAATGCATGAATGCATATTCAGTGGTGGAACTGCCGCTCCATTTGCACCAAACTGTGCCAGAACAAATAACCTGCTACATGCTGTTTCAAAGGTTGTTCTTGAAAGCGAGACTGAAAGTGTCTGGCAGGTGGCATTCTTTGCGTTGCCAAGAATGCCATGTGCCAGTACTATGTGCAAAGAGTAGGGCTGAGCGAATATTTTAATTATTGTGGTGGGTTAACTCCTTGAGTGCACTTCTCCTCAAGAATTGATGCACTGCGGAGAAGCAATACCTGCGGAGCTGACACCACGATCTTCCGGCTCGCTTTGCCGCAGCTCAGCCGCACACGGAGGCGAAAAACACACGTTAAAAGTGGTATAACGCATGCGTGCGCCTGGTGTAATAAAAAGAAAAAAGTTGTGATTGTTGATATTTACATCACAGTAAAATCTTCAAAATTTAACTGTGGTTGTTATGCAAGTGTATATGTTAGGCAGCAATGTTTTAGCAACCTGTGTCCATTATTTATGCTTGTTTTGTTTTAATTCAGGTATGAAGAACATATATTTGTATACGGCAAGAATATTTACAAATCCCCTCAATTAGGTGTGGCTGGGCTCTCTTATAGGTTTCATTTTAATTCAAATCTGTCATTTACTTGCCACCCCAATGTAGGTATTGGACTGCCTGAGGCCACAGTCTATAAATATAGCTAGATTAAATTTAACAGAGCTCATAAGCGGGCAATTAGAAGCTTGGGAACAAGCTTTGTGAGTACAGCTGAATTTTTGTTTAGCGTGGTGTACTAGTAGTGAAAAGCGTGGAGAAAGACGCAGCAACTATTCAATATTCAATTAAAGAATATTCGGCCAAAACCTCTATTTAATTCGAATTCGCTTTGAACCTAACACCCATTATTTGCACGTGCCTAACGAAGAGTTGTTGTTTTTTGAGCAAACGGTGCTCACATCGATCGCAATGAATAGGTAGCGCTACTCATTGTTATCAGTTAAAGTAACTATGTGCTTTGCTTAGCTGCTCTATGGACAGTAGTAGATTGAATACGAGCGAGGGCAGCGTGACATTCAACACAAAAGTGTCCGTTTGTTGTCGAACTTGTGGCAATTACCTCACCGTGATACAAACCCTACAAAGTAGCCAAACATATTTTTTGCGTCAAACACAAACCGAAGACGACATCGGTACTCCTAACAGGTTAATTGAGACATCTGGAGAGTTACTGGTGTATGATTGTTCAATAAATAAATAAATATCTGTAGTGGCCAGGTCCCTGTAGGTATGGTGCCTTAAATAGTTTTCCAACACCAACAACTACAGTTTTTCCCGCAGGCTACCTCCTAAAGAGATTGCATAAAACTTTTTGAGGTGAAAGCTCCACATTGTTTGCTCTAAAAGTGGGAGTCAGCTCCAAAATGTGTTGTTCCCTGCTACAAGAGCTGCTCCAAATCACCTCTTGTCAGTTCCACCACTGCATATTCAAAAACAGTATGATGACAATGAAAATAGGCTTAGGAGGTCTAATCTGTTATTGTTTGTGTTGTGTCGGTGAGGAAAAAATGTTCTTGTCACGTAGTCACATATTGTTTATTAACAGGTTAGGTTACATGTTGAGACCTCATGGCAGTTGCATGGAACAAGAAGAAAAGGAATGGCGCGGCGTGCGCGGGAAGTCCATCGGAAGACGCTGGCCCCCTGGTGGCGAAATACTCATATGCAGCAGTTTGGCTTTTCGGATACTTGCACTGAAGCATAGGGGCAATCAGAAGAAGAAGTTGTCGAGTTCTGTGCGCATATGTTAGGTGTACAGCTGGGCCCCTCTAATCTGGAGAAATCGCACCAGCTAGGGAAATTCCAGCCCGAGAAAACTAGGCCGATCATCGTTAAGTTTGCCCATTTATAAGACGGAGAAAGCATTTTGGCCTCCGGTTTCAAATTGAAAGACGCCCCTTATTCCCTATGCAAGGATATTTCTGCGTCTGTACGACTTGCCCGCAGCAAACCTTTTGAGTACAGAAAAAGTATGAACGTACAATTTAAGGTTCATTTCAACAAATGTTGGCTACAAATGTTTCGTCATTGACCTCGTGTCTCAGACTGTAGTTGACGTGTCATGGCTACATGCTTGTAATAAAAATAAACTGTTACCTCCATGCCCTCAAGCTACTGCTGTGTGCGATAAAAATCAAAGTATTTCTGTCCTCTTCACTAATATTCGCAGCTTCATGCCAAAACATAAGGAGTTTTAGAGCATATTAGAGGACAGTTTGTTAGTCATAGTCATCCTAACAGAAACTTGGTTGAAACCGCATCTTGAAGATGAGGACCTTTTTCCGAGAATTCATGTTGTAATGTTTTTCGGAATGGGTGGTGGTGTGCTCATTGCACACCACCACCCCTGTCTCTTTTTTTTTATATATTCTATATTTTCTCTTCTATATCTTCTTTTGATATCTGTTTAGCAAATCATGACTTAGAATTTACTTGCATATGTGCTTGTACGCCACCGAATAAGGTTATAATAGGCGTGTGTTATAGGCCACAAAAAGGTACATTAACATTCCATACTGATCTTTCCTAGCTGATATATAAGGTTGTTTTCCTAGGGCTGATATGCAATTATTTGGCACTTTCAATTTTTTTCTAATGAACTGGCAGAATCTATCAACCGAAGGCTCAACCCTTTCTGCACTGTTTCTAGACATATGTCTTATATTTAACCTCACGCAGCTAGTTGATCGACCGACTCATTTGAGAAACATCCTTGAACTAATACTACAGGGGTGGAACGGCTGCGCCATTTGTGCCATTTTGCGCCAGACGCATTTGTCTGTGCCATTCTGCACCATGTTGCGGAAACTGTGCCACAGCCAATACCTTGCGCCATTATGCACCAAATCACAACGTGCGCCAATTTTTTTAAATTTTATCTTGGTTTCGTTTTTTATCGACTTGATTGGCAGCAAGGAGCGCATTTAGCTTAATCGGCCTTGCAATCTTTTGTTCTTTTTATTCTCCATGTGTATTCCGAGTCGGAAGCGCGCAAAAAAAAACTTGGGGGTCAAATTCCAAGTGCTACACCACCTGCGACTGGATTGTTATTCTTCAACCATAAGCCGTTAAGCAAGTCGGCCGAGGTGAGGTTGAGTCGTTAAGCGTCGCATTGCCTGGAGCTCTGCGGCCCGGGATCCGGACGTCGGCCAGTTGAAAACAAACGAGCAAAAGATTTGTTTTAGTACTTCATCGTTAGAAGTTGGAACCGCATTCCCGCATGACAAATTGTGATTTGATAGAACTGAAACGGGGTCCGATCCGAAACCTTGCCGGCCAGCAGCTTTCACGTGATCGGTAGATCTCTTCGGCGTACTTTAACCTTGCACCTGCTTGTCGCTTCGAATACGATAACTTCGTTAATTGTAGTCTGCTGCTTCGATATTCAGTTGCACAATAGGATAAACTCGAAACTTGGTGCCCTGTTCCTCCGCGCAACTCCGCGTCCGTTGCTTACGCACGTCACGTGGTTCGCACACATAAGTACTATGTCGAGCATGTGTGGGTTGTGTGATAAGCAGAGCTGGTTTGCATTTTGAGCAGCTGAAAGCCACTAAGAAAATAATCAGGCTTGTAACCGTCACTGAAAAAAGTAACCAATGACAGTTACAACCACTTTGCTGTAAAAAGTACCCGACTACAATTACAATTACAGCTTCAACCAAGTAATCGAAAAATTACTCTAAAGTAAGGAATTACTTCCCACGTTACTTTTCATTCAAACTTTTTTTATGATAGCATAATCCGTGGAATCCCGCGCTCAGTTGTTAAAAAAAAAAGAAGAAAGCCTCGACTGTTTTTGCTTAAAGCTGAGTGAGTGATGGCACACACCTAATCCCTCACAAGAGGCTGGATAAAGTAATTTTTCATACCGATAAGTAGTCTCCGGTGTAAGAAAAAAGAATGTACCCAGGAAAAAGAAGCATAGTGAAGTGGCCTACTAATCCTCACAGCCTCGTGCTTAATAATTTCGAAAAAAAAAGAAAAAGACCGTTGTTCGGAGCTGAATGACTCCAGCTCCCTCCCCCCCCCCCCTCCCCCCCCCCTAAAAAAAAAAAAGAAATGAGGAAGATTGTAATGGGGGGTAATTTTGTAATCGAGTACAGCAAAAAATTAATTAAATTAAAAAGATCATTACCCCTTAAATTAAAGGAAGTAATTGAAGCGTCACAAAATTAAAGTAAAAATAGTCAATTACAAGTAATCTTGTAACGCGTTACGTACAAGTCTGGAAAGTATAGAGGACGTTATCTTCAGAAACATAGGGTACTTGCATTTTGGCTTTCATTAAGGCTCACAAAGTTTCAAGTTTTCACATCTGTTACACTGTTATCCCATCTACCTAGGTCCCTAGCCACTCATGTTCATCTGTGCTGCTAAGCGCGATTGAAATTGCTCCCGTGCGTGTCTAAGACGCAAGCTGATCTGAGCTGCTTCTAGCCTGCTCCAGAATGTAGTTCTAGCTGCTCCCAACCTGCTCCGAAACAGCTTTTTCAGCTGCTCCCGTGGCTGTTCCCAAGTACATTTCGTGAGTTCCACCCCTGTACTAACTACGTCACCGGATCTTGTCAAGTCCATTCAGTACTGCGACGGGCTCGGTGATTATAGGTTACAACATGTCGAGTTGTCACTCTCCATTCTGATCGAACATTCTATTTCCAAGATCATTCACAATTACAATGAGGCTGATTATAGATGAATAGATCATGGGTTGACAATCTTGTTTGACCATTACATTTAAATTGTCATCTTCGATTCAAATATTCCATGGTTGACCAAAATGCTGCTCTTTTTGCATAACAAGAAAAGGCTTTTTGCAAAGGCTAAATGTGTTAACACCTCAAGCTTTGGGTGCTTATAACTTTGCCCGTAAAAACTACAATAAAAAGCTGAAATTGGCTAAAAAAATTTTTTCTTCATGACTCGCTGTTTATTCTGAATGGTAACCCAAGCAAGTTTTGGAACCTGGTATCACCAAAAAGCAATAACTGCCATCAAACTAAGCCGCGACAATGACGATCCCATAGAAGAAATCGACTGCTCTGCAGTTTTTAACGAACATTTTTCTTCCATTTTAATAACGAGTGCTTGGAGACTGTTCTCCCTTTCTCTGAAGAGCCTTACAAGCCCATGCCTCCCATCAATATAAACACACCTGGTATTCAAAATCTTGTTTCTAAACAAGCTATCGTTGTCCGCTGACCCTGACAACATCAACAAAAAAATTAAAAAAATGCTATCATAATTTTTGGTGAGGTCTTGAAATCCTCCCTGAAAGCTGCCTCCCTTCTGACTAGAAGGTTGGCAAAATCATCTCAGTCTTCAAGCAGGGAAGTTGCTCATCTGTCTCCAACTATCGTCCAATATTCTTAACTTCCATTCCCGTTCAAACCTTTAAGCATATACTCTAGTCTCTTATCATGACTCACCTAACAACAAATAGATTTTTCTGTAAACAGCACCATGGACTTAGAAAGGGAGTCTCCTGTGATACGCACCTCTGTGACTTCATTCATGACTTGCACACTAACCTTGAGTGTCGGCTCAGATGCCACTTTCTTGGATTTTTCTAAAGCTTTTGATTGTGTTCCTCATCATCGACTGCTCTCTAAACTTGCATCCCTTCTTCTTGAACCCTCGGTTTTTCTATGGATATGTGACTTTCTTTCCGCGTTTAGTATGTGGTTAATAATGATCATGAATCTTTTTTAAGTAATCGTGATCATTAATTATTTAACCACTTTTTTAAATAATCATAAACCCCCTACCTTCCGCCATTTGCTCTAATATACATCTCTTTGCAGATGACTGCGTTGTCTATAACAAGATAACATGTGTGCATGATAACATTAAACTTCAGGAGGACTTAACAGAAATGAACAAATGGTGCAAAGAATGGCTACTGCCGTTAAGTATATCTAATTGTAAGCTAATCCAGTTCACTAGGAAAAAATCCTATCCTACCAGTACTACCTAGATTTTGATTTGATAGATGCCGCTCCGTCGTATAAATATCTGGGCGTCAGATTAACATCAGACCTTTCCTGGAATAACCACATCGAAGCCATTTCTGCCGATAGGTTCAGCGAAAGGTCCTTAACCTTTGGACTTCTCTGATGAAACCTTAGATTTGTACCATCACCTGTTTGCTACCTGGCATACGACAAATTTATTGAACCAAAATCGAATATTCCGCCTTTATCTGGAACCCTCATCAAGTCTACCTCATCAATAATCTAGAAGCGGTTTAAAACAGGACTTTTCGGTTCATTCTATCCATCTACAACCTTTCTGTCAGTGTTTCCGCCTTATAAAGTAAAGTAACCCTTTCCCCCTAGAACTTCGTAGAAAAGTCTCGCAGCTCTGCCTTCTTCGTGAAATCTATTCTCACTGTCCCGACCTCAAGGCAACCTCATTATCATCTCCCGACCGAACATTGTCTCGCCTTAACAATGCCTGTACCATCAAACGCATTTCTGGCTCAACGCCTTCAACCGATCATTCCTTCCACAAGCCATCATTGACTAACAGCCTGTATTTATTTGAGTGTATAATGGGAATGACCCCCGCCCTCCCTTATGTAGTTCCTAAATGGGCCCTTAAGGTGTAATAAATGCAATGAAACCATGAAGTTGGTGTAGCAGCTGTTACTGCATTGAAACATAAATCCGGGTTTGTGGAAAACCATCTTATTGCAAAGTCAGTAATGTATAATGTCTAGGTGCTTCATCATGCGCTTACAAGCTATGTGAATGACATCTAAAACAATAATAGCAAGCCTTTTCTGTACATGTGCCACATTTCTGAAAGCAGTAATACAAAGGCTGTTCCACATCACCAAAAAACCCTTGCTTTGGAAGAACTATACTCTGATAAAGACGGGAAGAAAAGCTCTTTCTACATTATGCATTTGCACTGAGGTCTAAAACATGAACTCCCAACATACGACACGCGAGAGTTAAAGAAATATTAAGTTGGGAGTCAAGCATAACTTAGGCTCATTGCACGATTAAAGTGGTGCGGAAACGAAATTTCAGTGCTAATTTTTTAGCTTTAATGTGTTGCATGTTGCAGCATAACCTCAAAAATACCACTTTTGTTGAAAGGCACGAGAAAACTAATTTTAATGCTAATTAACCAATCTTTCAATGTGCACCTAGTGGTTGCATATGGTGCCTATTTGGGAGGTAATCTAGCATCGTTGGGGAACTTGCATCGTAGTCTAAGTCATGACTTAGCAAGTTCCATCGGAGCAGTGCCACTCTTTGGAATTCAACATTTTCCTTCATAGCTTTCCTCCTCAACCCAGAAATCGCACCTTGTAGCAAACAGTTGAAGAAGATAGACCCTCATTAGTGTACCCGGACACAGCCATTCTCCCCCTAGAAGATTAGCTTGTTGCTCAAAACTCGGACAAAAGTTGCTTTTCCCACCCCGTTCACCTTTAAGCTGACAGTGCTGTGGAAGCTACGTGCTCCTTGGGCCTGCCACACGGTGTCACCCCACGGGTGCTTCGAACGGCTCGGTTGTAACGCGTTGACGCTATTGACACCGTCACAATGCTGGCAATGGCCAAGCCCATAACCACGCCAGCCTTGCTATGTCACGAATGCGGGGAATCTTTTTTTTTCGTTTTTGTTTGCGCCGGGTATCCCCCGACGCATCGCGCTTTCCGTTCGCTTCTCTTCGAGCGTTAGCTCGAGTGCACCGTTCGGAACGAAAAATATAGCCGCTCGCTCAGAATACAAACATGCGATTATCATTTACGGTTATTATCCGTCATGCTTGACTCATATCCGAACGAAATTTGAATGTTTTAATATCTTTTTCTTAATCCTTTAAGTCAATCCCTCCAGGTGTTACACAATGCTCAACACTATGGTCAATGACAGGTCAAGAACGAAGTGGAAGCAGCTCCCACCTCTTTCCACTTTAGCAGAGCCAGTGCTGGAGTGAATGTCGCCTCCTCTTTAAAGGGTAACTCCGGCCAAAACTAACAATGAAATAAATTTCTGGTATCGCTGTAGTGACACAAAATACGACCCGAGCCAAAATATTACATCCATGGGAGGCCGCATTCTCACCTAATGCCGATAATAAAAATGTGACTCGCCGCGAGTCACTGCTCCTTAGCGGGCGGCGAGCGGTTTGCCGATCGCCAAGGGAACATTGGGCCGTGACGTCAGTATCGTTCTCTTTTTTTCCTCCGGTCCAGGAGTTGCACGGAATGCGCTTCTTTGAGCCACTACCACCGCTACTTCGGCTTGTGATTGGCGTGTTTAGCCGTTGCTTTTATCTTTAGCCCGTGTAGCTTCGGTATAGAATTTTGTTTATTTGCTTGTGAGGACTTCAAGACTCGTTTTAGCGAGCAACTCGGTGCGCCCAAGACTGCCTAGATGTTCCTCGAAAGATGCCGAGTACAACTTGTAGCGCTGTGGGCTGCTCAAACAACCCGCTGCGCAACCCGAAGGTGCTTCTTCACAAGTTTCCAACAAACCGGAAATTGAAGAAAGTGTGGGTGAACGCTGTTCGATGAGTGGACTTTGGACTTCGGCTTTTATGCGCCCGAGGAAAAAAGAACGAAAAAACAGAATTGTACAGCCCAGCACTCGTGTGTTCGGCCGCCGCAGCTCGCGCCGTAGAGCCTCAAAGCTTCGTGTCTGGGACTGACCCGCAGCGCGAAAGTGAGAGGGCCCCCAGTACTGTACGTCACTGGCAGCGCAGCCTAGAGCAACGCCGCTCCATCCACAGAGCACCGATGACAATTTAGGTTTAGCGACGAGTACGGAAGACTGCACACACGGCGACAGCCGCCGAGTACGGCACCGAACGAGTTCAGTCGCTTTCCAGTCGCTAGCTTTTGGGTATACAAGCGACGAGTACGGCATAGCGCAGGCACGGCGGCGGCCGCCGAGTACGGAATCGTACGAGTTCACGGGTTTTCCAGTCGCTAGCTTTTGGGTATATGCACTAGCCCTTGCTACATATGCTGAATAACTACCACGGCCATCGACTCATCTGTCTCCTGGACCTGGTTTCCTCTGTAAATCTTTACGTTTGGCCCTGTGTTTCGGGGTTAAAGGCCGACGACCAGACTCGAGGTTCTGCAAGGCAGAATACCCTCCTCACCATGGGGGAGGAGGAAACCGGCAACGGTGGGCAGTGTAGAAGGGGGAGAGGAGGAAGCGAGGGAATAGTGGCAAGCGCAAACTGGTCGTCGGTTTTTAAGGAGCAGACGTATGCAATCCTGGAAGTAACAAACAGCCTCTCGTGGGAAAACGAAGGTTCGGCACGTAGGGGCAAAAAAGCCTGCACACGAAATATAGGCAGCATGCCCGGCTGCCTCCTTGATACCGAAGCAAGCCCATAAGCAATCAGCGGAAGCAGAGCTCTCTGTCATAAGCGTGCGCGGGACTCCTCCAACTAGACCCTGAACCCGGGAAACGCGACACTTGGTCTCCAAAAACTGAGAAAAAACAGAACGATCAGCTTCTGACAAAGGCTGCAATTTGACTGACTAAAACAGGTTTTCTACAATCAAACAGCCAAACGTGCGAAGGGGGAAATGGCGGAAACTAAGAGCTGAAGTGGAGAGGAGCAACATCCTTTCCACAACGGGTTGTTTCGTGTATGCCCGTTTTCCCTTCGCTGGGGCCGCGCCACGACGGGAAGGGGCTGGGGAACATCTCCTCAATTTCTAAAACTCGTTGCACAATCCAGTGCAAAATGGCCGAGTGGCTTCCCCGACGGAATGTATCCTGAATGGTCGCACGATCTGTCCTAGAGACCCGGTAAAATAATTTTTGATAAGGGCTGTAGTTTCACGGAAAGGATTGGGACAGACCCCACAGGTCTCTCAAAAAGCTATGATGGGTCTCTCAGGAATTCTTAAAGGGTACTTCAGGCCCCTTAGAAAACTTTGACGGTCATCTCAAGCACTTCTAACATCCAACATTTTTAATGGGCACGTCGGAACATTTTAGAAATCCTGGTGGGCCCCTTAAACGGACGTTAAATAGGGTGTTGCAGCTCTTGGGTCACCTATGGTGCAGGTGCTGCTGTCCCAGCACTTGCACCGTAGGTGATGCAGGCAGAGCGATTCTATTGTCCTGATAGCTGCATCAAAAGCGTCTGTGATGGAAATGCATGCTTGCCTCAATTTACTAGGGATACCCATTTCATGGGAAAGTGTAGCCGCCTGTAAACGTTCATGGTAAACCAAAAATGTCTATTCCTACTATACTTGCATTTCCAAATAGATGCATATACAAAATGTATTCATATAGACATATGTGCATGCATACATACAATGTAAATGGTATTTCCTGCAGGGATGCACAGGTGCTGAAGTTTGCAGTTGGTTCAGCTCAATTTTTCTGATACACCCAGTTGCGTTTACATCGATTTCTTGTTTCGAGCGCCGTCACTGATGACCGCAACAACAGTTCTATTATTTTTATATAGTAACTGTATTACGGCTTCTAAGACGTGCTTGGAAGTGCTCACCCAGGTGCCGCTTCCTCAGTTGTAAAAGCAGCAATTGGCTGGACTCGACTCTCAAAGATGGGAGTAAACGTTAGGAGCAACGCATTATCTGCCAGCTATATTGTTGCGTCGTCATCTGTAAACTCGCTGTAATTGACAAAACCGTCAAATTTGCCTTGTAAGCAGTGATAGATTGCAGGCGAGCTGGTAATGAATCATCATCTTGTAAACCCTGAGATGGGGAACAATAAAAAAAACGGACGAAGGGAACAAAATCTTAAATGCAGCTGCGTTTCAAATTTTGTAGTCTTCGTCGTTTTTTTTATTCTTCCCCATCTTCGGGTGTACAAGATGTCAAATTTTCCTGTCAACTTGCCAAAGCTCAATCTTTTACGCAGCTTGATTTCGTTTATCAATAATGTTCCTACTTTGTAGGTGTCAGACTTGTCCTTGAGTTGATTCGAGATGCTTGCCAAAGCAAGTGCATTGAACCCATACTCTGACGGCATTCCGCTAAGGAGCTGTGAGAGTTTGCTGGGACGACAGGGGAAGGAGATTCATTCTTTTTCTCATCTTAACCCTTTGGGCTAGTAAATCTCAAGATTAAGCCATACATAAGCCGGTCTCAACTGTAGCACACTCGAGACGTTCGTTTGGAGGAGGAGGAGGAGGAAAAACTTTATTTGAATGCCAGCAGTCGGTGGTACCTCGCCCCGCGCTGGGGGTGGTGACCACAACGCGACGCGGCCCCCACGTCTATCTCGCGCCTTCTACTCCCCGGCCCCGAGCATTCCCCTTAGCTAACCGGGATCGGGAGGGAGAGCCGCCCGGTTTTCCGGGCGTTCCCTTACCCCCCCTACTATCGTCTGCCCGTTGCCTCTCCAGGGCAGCCGAGATCTGTTGGACGGCCCTACGTTGAGTCTCCAAGTCACAGCTCCTCGCCGCAGCCTCGAACTGAGGGGGAATCGTTGTCTTCTCGGTTGCCTCTCTCGGGTTCTTCTCGCAGTCCCAGAGTACGTGCACCGCGGTGGCCCTAGCCTTCATGCACAGTCTACAGACTCTACACGTATCGTCCGCGTAAAGTCCCGGGTATATGTACTTAGCTAACACTGGTGTTAGTAAGGACCCTGTTTGTAGTTGCCTAAAGATCACAGCCTCCCCCCGCTTGAGTCCAGAGTGAGGGGGAGGCATAGTTCTTCTACTTAACCTATACCACTTCGCAATCTCGTTGTACGTAGTCATCCGGTCCTTGGAACTATACCACGCACCGCCCTCCGAGGGGGCCACGTTTGCCGTCGCGCGGTTGGTGAGTCCTCGCGCCACGGCGTTGGCCGTCTCGTTGTGGTTGGTGTTGCCCCGCCCCGACACATCATTGCCCATGTGGGCCGGGAACCACTTGATCACCACCGCCCCTTGTCGCCCTGCTTCTTCGGCGGCCCGCAAAATGCGGGCTGCCGCACTGCATACTCTGCCCTTAGCGTAACTCAACACCGCCCTCCTTGAGTGACTTAACACCGTCTTGCAGCCGGGGTCGGCGATGGCCAAGGCAATGGCCACCTCCTCTGCTTGATGCGTGTCCCTGGTGCGGGTGCTGGCCGCCGTTTTGACTGCTCCCGTCGAGGCGCTCACCACTACTGCTGTGTACGCCTCGACGCGGTCTTGATATTCAGCCGAATCTACGTAGACGGCTCCCTCGTCTTCCGCGTGCCTATCCACGAGTTCACCCGCCCTCGCTGCTCTTCTTTCCGTGTTGTGCGTGGGGTTCATGTTCCGCGGTATTGGACATACTCTGATTCCGGTCATTAAGCTGCTCGGAACGGGTTCGGTAGCCGCCGAGCCGCTGCCATTAGGATTTATGCCAAGGTCCTGTAGGATCTTCCTCCCCGTCTTCGTGCCGGAGAGGCGCTCCAGGTGCGCCGACCGTTGAGCTTCTGCAATCTCCTCCAGTGTGTTGTTTACCCCCAGCTCCATGAGTTTCTGTGTGCTCACGTTGCCTGGGAGTCCCAGTGCAATATTGTATACCTTGCGAATGAGGGCGTCTATTTTGTTTCGTTCCCCTGTAGTCCATTTGTGGAAGGCAGCCACGTACGCAATGTGGCTGATCGCAAAGGACTGCACTAACGTGATTAAACTTTCTTCCTTCATGCCATCTTTCCTATTGGATATCCTCCGTAAGAGCTTCGTAGCAGACATGACCTTGGTGTTGAGCTTAGTGATTGTTTCTCCATTTACTCTGTTCCGCTCGAGTAGTAAACCGAGCACCCTGATCTTGTCTACCTCCGGGATTAACCGCCTGCCCGCGGTCTTGACCGTGATCTTAGGTCTCTCCACCGTGATCGGCGCGTCCTTTCTTCTCCTGCCTGCCCTTTTAGGTGGTAACACTAGCAGTTCTGATTTTGTCGGGGAGCAAACGAGCCCGGACCCTTCTAGGTGTTCCTCTATGGCCTCGACCGCTTCCTGCAATTGGTTTTCTATGTGACCATCGCTGCCTCCTTTGACCCATAATGTGATATCGTCAGCATAAATGGTGTGTCTGACGTCCCTAACTTCCTGTAATCGGTTAGCCACCCCTATCATAACAAGATTGAAGAGCAGTGGGGAGATCACCGATCCCTGTGGAGTTCCGACGCTGCCTAAATCTTTCTCGTCTAGTTGTAAGTCCCCCGCACAGATTCTAGTGGTTCGTCCAGTTAGAAAGTCCCTGATATAATCGTAGGATCGCCAACCCATGTTAAGTTTCGAGACCTGGGCAAGGATGGCAGAGTGGCTCACCTTATCGAAGGCGCTGTGTAGGTCCAGCCCCAGGATGGCCCTGTTGCCACCTATGCTAAGTGATACGTCTATGATTTCATTCTTCAGGAGAATCATTGCGTCTTGTGTCCCCAGCTTATTCCGGAACCCGGTGATGGAGTCCGGGTAGAGGCCCGACTCCTCCAGATATCGTTGCCACCTGTCCAGCAGTACGTGCTCGAGAAGTTTGCCGACGCACGACGTAAGTGAGATCGGCCTGAGGTTCTCTACACTGGGTTGCTTGCCCGGCTTGGGGATGAGGATCGTTTTGGCCGTCTTCCACTGCTTTGGTAGTTTCCCTTCTCGCCAACACTTGTTGTAGTACTTCGTGATATTCTCGATAGCCGCCTCGCTGAGGTTCTTGATCGCCTTGTTAGTAACTCGGTCGGGACCGGCTGCCGATCTGCTGTTGAGTTTTTGCATGGCTGCTCTGACTTCCCACGTTGCAATGTCCTTGTCCAAGGTCGCGTTGTCGGTACCCTGGTACTCCAGGTGTTCCGTTGTAGGAGTGGACGGTAGATACTTCTCGTCCAGACGCCTCTTGATCTCGACTTCCCCTTCCTTGCTAATGGCCTTGTGTAGGATCCTCGCAAGGTTGTCGGGCTGATACCCCTTAGTCTTGGTCTCGTCGAGGAGATGTCTGAGCATGCTCCAGGTCCTGCTCTTGTTCATTTGACCGTCCGCCTCGTTGCATACCTCGGTCCACTGCTGCTCGCAGAGCCTGCTCGCAGAGCCTGCAATGGCCTTCTATACACTGATTGAGTTCCGCGATCTTCTTCCGTAGTTTTCTGTTTGTGCGCTGACCCTTCCATCTTGCTTTGATTGACTGCTTAGCTTCCAGTAGGTGAGCTAATCTGCTGTCCACTCTGTCTATACCCTCGTCCGTTTCTATCTCCTTCGTGGCTCCCTCCATCGTCCTATTAACGTTATCCGTCCATTGATCGATATCCGTGATTTCTGATTGCCAGCTAGTGAGTGCCGTCCTGAAGGCGTCCCAATCCGTGACGCGGTGCTTTCTCTTCTCAGTGTTACCACCTTTCCCCTCCAGCGGGATGAGGACTTCTAGTATGTAGTGATCACTTCCTAGGTCATAGCCCGTGTTGTTCCAAGTGACCGCTCTCTTCCTCCCCGCCACTTTGACGAAGGTGAGGTCCGGGGTGGTGTCCCGGGAAACCGATGTTCCAGTTCGAGTGGGTTGTTCGGGTTCTGTGACGAGACTCAACCCTGCGTCCAGCGCGTCCTGCAATAAGTCTCTTCCCTTGGCTGTTGTCTTGCGGTACCCCCACACTTGGTTCGCTGCGTTAAAGTCGCCGCATACCATCAGCATGTTTCCTCCCGCTACCCTACATGCTTTATGAAACAGTGCTTTGAATTTCTGTTGCGTGTGAGCTGGCTTGCTGTACACATTAACTAAGAAGGTACTTTCTTTTCTCTTCCTTTCCGTGATAACCTCCACCGTGCAGTGTTCTATGGTGCTCTTTTCTAGTATTTCGTGCTCTACGAATGTGATACCCTTTCGTACGAAGATACAGACTCCCCTACCCTTCCCCTTGGGCGTTTCGCAGGTATCCGGAGGCCTGTTGTGCGATCGGTATCCCGCGAGCTTGGGTGTCTCCGTGGCATTAGATTCCTGTACCATGATCACATCTGGTTTCCTATCTACTTTCTGCAAGTGCTGTTGTAGTACCGCTTTCTTGTGTGCAAAACCGTTACAGTTCCAGTGCCAGACTAGGAGGCCTTTTACTGGCGGAGTGGTTGTTGCTGCACGCCCTGTCCCGTCCATGATTGTTGGAGTTTGGTAATGATGCCGATTTCCATGCTCTGTATCTGCGCTTGTATTTGTGCTTGTAACTGTACCTGTAGTTGCGCCAACATACTCTGCATGTTCTCCTCGAGCGATGTGAGGCGGTCGCTAGTATCCTTGCAGATTTCCTCCATTCTGTCCAATCTTTCATCGTGTCTCTTGAGCTTATCCATGATCTTTCGATCCCTGATGCTTTCTATGGCCCTCCTCTTGGGGGCTGGTTCCGTTGGCCTATCGGCTCTGGGGTCCACTTCGGTCTCTGATTCGTCCTCGACTATGGTCCCCGTCGTCTTTTCTGGTACGGGTTGTGGTGCCTGTTGCTGTCGCTCCCCAATCAAGATTGCCAGCTTCGCATTGATTTCCTTGATTATATCATCCTGCTCCGAGATTCTGCGCTTGAGCTTGTCGTTTTCGTCCTTGAGGGATTTCATCGCTGCCAGGTCCTCCTGCCTCTTCTTCTCGTAATAACTATTCACACTGGGTTGCTTGCTCTCGGACCTAGTTGTCTTGACAGCGTCTGCCCAGGAAGTTCCCTCCCTCGGCCGCGCTACGTCGCGGCGGTGACTGTTGCTTCTGCCTTCCTTACTGACTTTCCTTCTCCGACTGTCGGCTCGTCGTCTTGATATGCTGCGCGGATTCTCGATGGAGCGCGACCTAAACGGTGGAAAGTCTGCGGCTACCACTTGCTGCTCCGCGGCCTCCGCTTTGCGCTCCCATTGGCGTCGCTTAACTATGTATGGCATCTTGTATTTGTTTTTACAGCCCCTCTCCCCTGTTGGATGTGGGCTCCCGCATAGCTTGCATTGCGGTTGACATTTCAGCTCGTGCCCTTCCTCCGGGTTCGCCATGCCGCAGCCGAAGCAGGACTTGTTTCCGGGATTCGGGCACACGTCTCGTCTATGTCCCAGT